TGAGCTGCTACTGCGAGAAAATAATCATTAGTTGCAGTCGAAATTGTTAAAAACGAGCTCCACCTCAACCAACAACAGTAAAATCCTGCTTGACATTAATGCATGAATCATAATAATCTAACAGCCACAGCAGACACTGTCCTGCATTGAGTACTTTAATTTTAATATTTTAAGTTCATTGTTCGGCAACTCTTAACATTGTCAATGCAGGACTTGTAACGGAGTATTTTTATAGTCTGGTACTTTTAGTAAAGCTTCCTCCACTACTGGGTGAACATTTTTTTATTGTATTTATTCTTTATCAGCAGTAGTATAGTAAAGTTACAACACTTAAAATAACAATAAAACAACACACAAGCATAAAATCAATTGTCCATACATACATAATACTAAATCAAGAGAGAGCAAACAAAAAGATAAAATAATTTGGCACAATTCAATAAAGTGAATAAACAAAGTCATGGAGCAATATTGTCCAGAATATTTATCGAAAGATATTTCTTGTTTTTAAAACTCCCTCTTAAGGGGGTCAAACTGCCGGCCCGGGGGCCATTTTCCGGCCATAATGTCAAGATTATTCCTTTTTTCTTTATTTTTCTAGTTGTTTCACATTAATTTAAACTATCCCTTCGTATACATTTAAAATAATAACAACAGTTCCTGTCTCTAAAAAAATAAATGGCCAAGGTCAAAATGTGCCCTGCAAATTGGCATTTAACGGGGTTTGAGAGAGAGCGAAAGTAGGTTTCCTAGGCTATTTGCTATGTTGGTGCGAACAACGAGAAGATGAATCTATATAAAGTAAAGACAAGTAAAAACCGTAGTATTATGATGTTAGTAATCGGAAATTTGTCAGAATAGTGTGTTTTCGGTGTAAGTACTTGAATTGAAGTTGCCTCCATTAACGACAATGCCCATAAGCCAAAGCTCTAAAAGGTTAATCTTTAATTCTCTCTGCAGGAAATGTGAGACATTCAGATAAAAACAGTTTACATTAAAACATGTGAGCAGGCTGTAAAAGGGCAAAAATACGATTATTTTTGTTTTTACATTAAAACTGTTCATAATAATGTTAATCTATTCTAGACTAGAGATGTTGGGCAGTGGTTCCCCAACTACTAGCTTCACTGGAGGTTTGTGAGGCCTTCTTGAGTTTAAGAGGTGAAAGAAAACTTTAAAAATATACACAATGAGCCTATATTTCAGCATTTACATCACTTTTATGAAGAAAAGTCAAATGTGCAGTAAAATGTCTAATAGAACAATGGTCAAAACACTTAATTTGTAAAAAAAAAAATGATAGAAAAGCATCATGCAGAAAATTTTATAAAAACATCCCTAAACAGGAAATAATCTGC